CTGTAATCGGATTGGTCAACTTTGTCTAGGCGGCCTCAGTTACAGTAGTCACACTGTAACATTATTTTACATAAAGTAGCCTTTGTTTCTTTATTTATTTGCCTATTTTTCAGCACTGTAAACAAGAAAGTACAGGCAATATATTCCCTCCGTTTACTCTATCTTCTTACAAGTCTATCTGTCTTGCGCTATGTCCTGCTCAAAACTCGAGGCTTTCTTGAAAACGACAAGATTTATTACTCTACATCATCAATGACTTCCTACATTACGCTTTATGTTTATTAAAATTAATTTTACTTACTGGGATGACAGCACTAATGCAGTCCTTATCTTTGTGATATTCCCGCCAGATCTAAAATTGAAAAAACAAAAAGAAAAAGAATCAACAAAAGTTTTAACAAATTGACTTTAAGGCCTGATTTTTAACATGAACTTCCCATGTGCCAATTAAATCCAATGCAATAAGCAAGAAAAACAGACTTTCTTGTTACTCTAATTGTCTGACAAACCTTTTAGCCTCTCGATTTAACTTGTCTTTCATAAAATAAAATAAAAACTCCCACAGTTTCAGTATGGTTCATGAGATCTTAACAACTACATCAATTTTATTCTCATGTTTTTTCTGTAATATAATCCTTCACTTAACTTATAAAGGTAAAACAACAAATGAAAGCTAACTCTCACCTGTCCAATTTCCTCAGCACTCTTATCTGAAACTTTGTCCAGATGCATAATGGAGTTTAAAGTCTGTAAGACGTACCACAAAATAATATAATGATTTAAATGAAAGTGGAAATGATCCTCCCGGTCAGGAGTCCTTTTCCATTCAAAATAATACTAGAAAGACTTACTGTATTCAGCACCTTCTGTGAATAGGTAAATAATATCAAATTAATATTATTCTCCTTTTAACCCATTGGCTCCAAGGAATTATGCCAAAAAATGAGTCTTAATGCTAGTCGCGCCATTTCCTAGTCATTATCTGGCTATTAAGAGCTAAGACTTATAAATTCAAAATATCAGCTTCTGAAGTTCAGCATACACAAAAAGCAAATGATCGCTTTTTCTCCTCCCCTCTTCTTTAGTTTTATTGCCCCCTTTGTTTTCTTTTGCTGGGCATTTTATACTAGCCTTTATTTTGAAGGGAAAATTTTTCAGGAAAACTTTTAGGATCATAGGATTAGATGGATTAGGAAGTGCTGCTGGGAAGTGGACTGAGACTTTTATCAATATTTTAAGTTGCCCTTGACATTTATTGACCGAAGATGTGTCAAGTGATACAAGGGATCGTGACCACACAGGTGGTTATGGACGGTTCAGGGGCAAATGGGTTCATTAACAAACACAGTCATTGGGACAGAGAATCTAACAATTTGTTGGAGGTCACTTGTGGCTCTATAATTTCCAGAAAGGCCTTGAACTGAAAGACAGAGAGACTACTGATTTCACTAATCAAAACAGACCTTCTCCCCATACACTGGAGTCCCTCCACTGGAAGACAAAGGATTGCTTGTAAGAAGTGACTTCTGAAAAGAAATGGATATTAAAATCTTTATACCATTACGTTATGACAGTTATGTTACTTTCACACTACAGTATTTTACAAATTTGGCACAAAAATGATTTTAATGGCCTTTTTGGCCTAAAAAGAGATAGCCGTTAATTGCTATAATATTAGTGTGGACAAAATCAAAACCATTTAGTTTTATTGTCCTTAGATAAAACACTTATATAATATGCATTTCTGACTTTCCTCAACCCTTTTGTTAAGGCCTGCCTTTTACAGTGTAGCTGTTTGTTGGGGATCAAAGTGGTTTTATGCATCAAAAACAAATGCCTCTGAATCACAGGCCCTCATTTAAAATTACTTGCTTAAAAACTGGACATGGTTATAGTGATGACACAATATAGCCTCCTCTGCAGGCAACTCCTGTTGTAACAGTTACACTGACCATGAGCAGTTTGGGGATGAGAAAAGGAGAAGAAAATGTGGTGGAGTTGCCTGCCAAAATTCAAAGAGTGTGCATGGACTACATGCGTCCTTCACCCTTGTGGACCAGTGACTCTACCGGGGTCCCCTGGAGGTTTTCATCAGACAAATTATTACAAGTCCAGTCTCCTAAGAAAATTTTTTGTCATTCTAACATTCCGACATGGAGACAAGCAAGCGTGCTGTTAGTACAGCAATCTTGCTCTTATGCACCGTTTATTAGAAATTTTTGCTCTGTTTGTTTTTCCATTTTCCATGTTTCCTGTCTGGGGGGATGTAGTTTCTGTCGTTTTTCATTCAGACTTTTGCCTCGCTAGTTTTTTACTTTTCAAAAGTTTGTTGCCAATGATTTCATTTAGCTTAGTTACATAAAGTTTGAATTATATAAAAAACAACACGACTTCCCCACTGTACCTCGCAGCCGTCAGTTATCATTGTTTTCATTTCTTTGTTTATAATGCCGTCATTTTTTACTGACATTGCCTTCTGTTATTTGAATTCAATACAACCGGCCATAAGATTCATATCTTAAAACATTACTCTTTGAAAAGCCTACATACTACAGTGCTGATTTGATATCGCTCAATTAATCGACATAAGCTTAATCACTTGCTGACTGACTTTACTACAAATTTTTTTATGTGGCTTTCACAAGTTTGCTGATTTTTTTAACCCTATTTGACACAAAAAAAGATAATGATTTAATGATAAGTTTTTCTTTATACTGAAGCAAGCCTCACTTTCGATAGTACAAGCTTAAGTGTTAAATGTTGGTAAGTTTAGTTTTGGTTTTGCATCATTCGATCGTGCATTATATCAACACACATAAGCTTTAGCTTAGATACATAAACTGGAGGCTGTGGTAAGATTTTCTGACAATTTTAAAGGGCAACTCTCAGGAAAATTACCCCTGCTTTTTAAGTTCTCTGTGGTTTCCTAATGGCATGTAATATATCGCTTTGGTGAAATTTCCGATATATCTGTGAAACTTATTTTATTATAATTTTTCGAAAACTCGATTTTTGCCGCCATTTTGAAAACATTCGGATTTGAGATTAGTCACGTGATTTTACGTCACACGTGTGGAACACGGATTGCCAAGTGAAGATTATAAGAGAAAAACGCACCAAATTTCTCTTGCAAGTAAAGGAGAAATAGAGCCTCTACTGTCATATTAACGTTCAGGAAAAGCATTTCGATGATGGTTCCAATTTTTAAATTTACACCAGCATCAGATGCGGGTGATTTAGATTTTTTTCTGTATTTTTTTTGTTAGGGTATTTTTGAAGTCACGTGAGACATTTATCGACCCGAGGTCAAAAATTGTAAACAGCTAAGCTCCTAATCTGCTACATATAATACAAAGAAGATCTTTCCTATAGCAGATTTAAAATTCTGATACAACCATTAATGTCACCTGATGGGTGTTGATGCCCTTCATTTCTCGAAAACAACTTTATTTATTCCCGGGAAATACTCGCATCTTTGAAGAGAACTCCGTCACAGACCACCATACCGGCCTGATTCTATACCGCCTTTTGAGTTTTCACTTAAGTGTGTTGTTCTCTTGTCTGAAATCTGCAGGTTCCATCCATTTACCTTTGCTTCTAAACAAGCGAAATAAAACTCACTTCTCGCCAAAAATTGTGATTTTATGATCATCATTTTGAATGTAGTTATTCGAAATGTGCTCTCGAGATTGTAGCGTCATTCCATTGCAAAACCTGTACACACGCTAAAATTACATGTGATGTGCCTTTTAAGGATAGAAAGAAATGAGAACAGTTCAAAAAAAGTTGATTAAAATAGGATTGCTTCATTACCTTTAGTGGTACTTTGTAGAAAATAATTAGATGCAAACGCCTTAATGTTTAATTCAAAACTCCACGATTCGTATGTGAAAATAGCTCTTTTGCAAAGCCTTTGTGCAGTTTTGATCTTGCACAATTGAATTAATCATCACTGCCAAAGAAAAACTTTACAAGGATTTTTTTTTTGTGGCTTTCTATAAAGTTTCCTTACACGTTTATCCTTGAATGACAACAGACCAGCTCATAATTTGTCCACCAAGACACATATACTTTTCCTTATACTGAAGAAAGCCTCATTGTGATAATAATTCCAAGTTCAAAAAATGATGTAAAGATTGGTTTTAGTTTCTGCAATTGATCACCCGCTACATCAACACACATACATCTGCATAGGTTGGAGGTTTGTTAAAAAAAAAATTCCTGAAAATTTTACAGGTAGGAAAAATATAAATGCGTTATTTGCTGGTCCAGGAGGATTCATTTTCCTTTCGACAAACTAACAAACTATTCTAGGTCCCAGTAAATAGCTTTTGTCTCTCAAAATTCTCCCACTATCCCGTACACAAATAATTGGATTTTTTATGGATGAGCCAACATATTGCGCAGAAGGTCATCACCTTGTAGATATTTGGCAGGCATCACTATCACTTCCTGTTCTCTCCCCACTCTCCCACTTATTCTCTAAAACAGGACAGTGAAGCCTGCGGAGGAGGCTAAGTCACACTCTAATATCACCCTCCTGGTAAGGGTGTTTTATTTGTAAGAAACTGAACATAAAGCTAAGCTCACATCAGCAGCCTTTTTCTGTACTTTCTGTCTGTAACTTTCAGCTTCTCTCTGAACTTGCTCATCTAAACGAAACTTCTCATCTGGACTCTTCTCCTCTCTGTAATTTGTAACAAAAGGAAGAAAAAAAGATAAATGTCTTTTATAATCACAATAATTGGTCTGAAATAACATCCCCAGCTAAGTGTATTATCAGCCTACAGCCTTAATGAATAGCGTCCTCCTTAAGCCCCATAATCTCTTAAAAAATTCATACAAAAGCAGAACTCATACACTATTTCCAAGTTCATAGCATAATAATACTACATGTAATTATGCTAATTAACAGATAATAATAATAGTTTAATGAAACAAATAATTTAAGCTGAACATAATACAAAGTTAAGAATCCTATCGAGTAGAAGGTGAACTAGCCTGAATTTCATCCGATTACTTCGAGTCGTTATTACTCCCTCAGTAATGTCTGAATCGACCGGCCGTTAATGCCATCCAGTGACGTTACTACTCCTTGACCTTTGCTTTAATTCATGCAAAAAGTAAAACACGATTTTCAAATGGCAAACCGAGAAAATATCATTTGGAAATGTGTGCATGATACAGAACTGCTTTATTTTTTTTTCAATCATAGTTCATGTTTAACGTTCAAAATATCAACTGCATGCAGTACAACTCTGAACCGGTTGTACTGAATTCTATAATCAAACTCGTTCGCAATCACGCAATGAAATAAACACACACAGAGAACACTTAGTTCAAAAACACAATGATTAAAAATTAATTTTGCTTTAGTTGAAAAGAAGCTATTTGGTCCTTAACGAGGAAAAAACAAGGAAACAAGAAAGAAAAGCTAACAGAATCATTACACTTGACAATAAAAATAGCAAGAAGGTTGAATTATAATATTGATGTCAGAAAACTTCACGTCACAAAATCACCGGCCGCCGAAACCATAAAGAGGCTCCAAATGAAAAACCTACCGACTCTCCGCAATGATTCTCCATTCGCAGTTCAATTTAGCATTTCAGTTTCCAAGACAAGGGGAATTTTGCTGTTTAAGATAAAGTAAGCTTATTTGAACTACACGAAAGAATGCCAGGGATGGGATCCGCTGAATACTCAAGCGACAATCCCGCTAAAATTTTTCATAATTAAACATAATTATGTCAATGTTTAGACAATCAACCAATCAAAATCACTACCCAGTTTTCGGGTGGTGAGTGACGTCACTGGACGGCATTAACGGCCAGTCAATTCAGACGTTGTTGAGAGGAGAAAACGACTTGAAGCAATCGGATGAATTTCAGGCTAAAGGTGAACCAGTTGGCTATTTCACAAATGTTGCTGCGGATTATGAAGTCAGGAGTACTGAGGAACAAATCCAGCTAGTGGCCAGGGTGGGAATTGAAGTCAGGGCCTCTGGATTATAAGTCCAGTGCCCTTAACCACTCGGCCACACTGTCTCCTTCTAAAAGTATTTTGGAAATGCAAAACTCAAACTATTTTGGCATCCTTGTTTCCAGATAAAATTTCTTACAAAACACATGCCTGTACCAACACAGTTCGAGGATATAAACAGATTTCCTGCACATTATTTAGACTTGCCAAAAGTCAACCTCACGAGTGACCTCACAAGTTTTTAAGCGAGCAGAGCGAGCTTCTTAGGATTTTTCTAAGCATGCAGAGGGAGCTGTTTAGGATGCAAAGCGGCCGAGCAAGCGAGAGGGCGACTTGTCCGACTTGAAAGATTTCTATTGCATTTTGCTCCAAAAATGGGGACTGGTGTCACTCGCATTTTTGGGGTTTCAGGTGATATATGGGAGTCCTTGACTGCATTGATTCCACTACAACAAAGACAATCTAACCTGTGTATGTTTCTCCGACATGGAAAGGGCAAATTTCTTAACTTTGTGCTTAAGTTGTCACAAACAAAGATTTCAGGTGTAATAACAACCTCAGCCAGGCGGAAAAAAACCAAAGCTTGTTTTAATCTTGAGTCAATACTTGGAAAGGAGATTTCTAGTGATGGTTTGTTAACAAAATTAATATCTTGTACCATGACTGTGCTGACAAGAATGAAACCATTGTTCAGAAACTTCACAAAGTGAGGGAAATAAAGCTTCAAATCGTCAAGGAAGGCCATTGCAGAGAAAAAAGGAGGAGTAAACCTCTGTCAATAAAACAACATGCAGACACTTGGATCAGATCATGATACCAGCGAGCAAAAGAATCACACTGTAATCCTTCAGATATGCTTTGATTAATTTCCTCTGATAGTCACGCATATTCCGAATATTTTGTGGCCTCAAGAGCATTCTTTTATGATATCACTTTTGCAATCAACCCAACAGGGTTGTCAAAAGGTAGCCGGCTGCCGGCAAAAATCGCCACCTACTTGGTTAGTAACGGCCAGTTACTCTGCAGTGGCATTTCTTTATGGACGGCGTTTTTTAAATATAATATCCCTAAACTGGCTGCTTATTTTGACTTCAGAACTTTCTGACAACCCTGACCCCACGTTGGAATTTCAACTGCAAGTCACATTTCAGTGCGCTTAATTACTTGTGAGTGAACATTTTATCTCCAACGGATCTAAAGTCAAGCTACTCTGATTGGTCTAAGTGGGGTGACCCATTTTTGGGTCACTAAAACTGGATACCAATCAAGTATGAAAAGTCCTTTGTCCCAGGCCATACTAAATCGGACAAACCAATTTTTTGAAAGTCTAGCATATATTCTTCATTAAAAAGTAGTTGANAATTACTTGTGAGTGAACATTTTATCTCCAACGGATCTAAAGTCAAGCTACTCTGATTGGTCTAAGTGGGGTGACCCATTTTTGGGTCACTAAAACTGGATACCAATCAAGTATGAAAAGTCCTTTGTCCCAGGCCATACTAAATCGGACAAACCAATTTTTTGAAAGTCTAGCATATATTCTTCATTAAAAAGTAGTTGATATCCGTCACACGGTATTTTTGCTAGACATACAATAATATGACTGTTTCATCTTCACATGGCTGTGAAATCTACCACTATTTTTTTTAGTTTTGCATTGCCAAAATATTGTCCATCACCTGGTAACATTATGTCACTTAAAACTACTGCCGTCATGTGAAAAGCTAAGGACACTTGGTTTCTGGGTCTCCACAAGTCGCCTCACTGCAGCAATAATACAAGCTTTTAAAATTATACTGTGTGAAATACGTGTTAGGCACGTTACTTAGTATACTTATTTCGGGAGCTATAACTCTCTTGCATTAGCAGATCATTAAGTTTAATTAAATTATTTAGAGCTACTGATATCGCTTGATTATGTTGCAAATTTGCACTCACAATTTTCCTTCTTTTATCTCATTCCTGACCTCCTTGATTCTCGCAGCGTATTTTTCGTAAAACGGATTCGACTCAATTTCATCACTTGCTGAATAAAAAATCCTAGATGACGATAACAACCTTTTTTCAGTTATACAAGAAGTCCGAAGGGTAAAGGCTTGTAGGGAAGAGCATGGATTTGCAATTTTTCTGAGGCGAACACAAACTCTCACAGAGGCAGCCATATTGGAAATTTCTTGCTTGAAAAACGAGAAGACCCTGGGAACGAAGATGCCTCCGGATCTCTCTCTCAAGATTTGTGCCACAAAATGACGGGCTCGGGTTCAGGGCGGAAAAACGTAATGAGCATGCGTGAACTTTTTTGCCCAGATCCCCTGGCCGGGTTTGAAAAAATGGCGGGATTTTAAATATTTTATTACCTAAAAATAAAATGTTTCCACTCATAACCTGGAAAGAACAGGCAATTTGTCTTCAAAAGTTGCAAGCTGTGGTTATAACCTTGTCGTTACTTAATTTTCTCGAAGAATACCTCATAGTAAAACGGACTTTTACTTTGAAACGTGCGGAAAGAGAGTAAAAAAACAAGGTTTCATCCACCGTTAACTATTATTACTATTTTTTTTTTTCTGCTTTATCAACGCGCGCTTTGTCGGGTTTCTAGTTGTAGTTTTCTCCGGACCGAGTCGGTGTTTTCCCTTTTCGGCGCTGACTCTCTTTCCAGGTCTGTTCACTGTGCCCCTGACGAGAATGACAGACCTTCTGAGCAGACTAAAAAATTTTTTAAATTAACGTCAGTCTATGTTCCTGTCTATATTAGTGAGCTCACTAGAACTTAATAACAGTGTAACATAGCCATTTATCTATTTAGTTCTCTTACCATAGCTAAATGAGTATTTACCACTTACTTAATGCTACACATTCTTATTGAAAATAACTAACGTATTTGTGGCTATTTTCTCGCAGCTACATGTAGTTTACGCTCAATGAACTGATGTGTGGTCATTGAACTACTGGTGTGGTTATTGATCTGTTATGTACTTATTGAACTGCTGTGTGGTTATTGAACTAACAAAAACAAAAGCTTGCGCAGAACGTTTTTCCGCCCTGAAGGGCTCGGGTAGGCTCGGGTGACACGAAAAATCGACCATTATTATTTAGGGCCTGGATTTAATTTCCTAGTCCGTTTTATTCAATGAGACTCCGCCGAAGTCCAAACCCTTATCCTTTTATAATTATATAGTTTTTTTAGCCTCGGACAACGCTCCGCAAGAGGGGGGGGGGGGGGGGGGGGGAAGGGGGAAAAAACCCCACCCCCGGGCCCCCCCCACCTAGCCTCCTTTTGTTCCCCGTTTTTTGCTGTTTCCCCCCATT